TTCGTTCAGGCGCCCTTTTTGCATCACAACACGACGCAATGACGCCATGCGACGCAGAAACGGAGAGCAGTCGGACCAAGGGGACAAGTCGGACAAGACCGAAGCAAACAGCACACTGCCATATCAATAGACATACGGAGGAAGAACGAGGCAAGTCCTGCCCTTGGTTGGCCTCTTTTTCTTTTGCAGGTGTTGGTTGTGTCTTTTGTGTTGAATGAAGGTGTCCAAACAAGTCCAGCTATTGATGCAGCAAGTTCTTCCAGTTGGTATCTTTCTTGCTTGGTGGTCAAGACAGGCTGTGTTGGACATTCACCAGACCATCAACCACAAGTGCACAGTCTGCCTGACATGTTGAAGTACCCACTCGGAAGTGGTGTTCGGGATGCTTGGCAGATCTCTGATTTAACGATGTTTGAGACATCCCAATTGAAAACCAAGACAAGGGGCTTTCTTTCGCTGTCTTGAGCTTCACCAGCGCCCGTGCTCGAAAAAAGGATGCTACGCACTGGGGTGCTTACTCTCTTGGTCCACCCTCCCTTTTGATCCGCCAGGCCTTCACCATGACGCAATGTGAACACCTTTGTGCTACCACGTACCCAGCAGACGAAGGCGAGTCTCCTGAATGTGCGTGGCCATTCGTCGTCTCATTCAATCTCATTCCTCTCCTCATCGTCTTACCGCTGCTCATCCCTACTAGGAGCAAGGACGCTACTAATGGCTCCTGGCATCGCTACTAGGAACAAGTGCCTTACTACTAGAAACAAGAAGCTACTAGGAACAAAAGGCATCGCTACTAGGAGCAAGGACGCTACGTTCGGGGCTCCTGGCCTTGCTACGAACGTAACAAGAAGTGTCCTCATCGTCGCACACCGCAAGGGATGGTCCTTTGTCGGTGACTCCGTCGTTGGTGCTTTGAGAGGTTCGGATGGCACCGTGGATTTGGTGCAGTTCTTGCACTGGCCGGGGCACCCAGCAGTCGCGGGAAGAAAATCATGCGGGTTGACCTCATCTTCAGTGCTTGCGGAGAAGATGAGGATGTCGCTTTGGGGTCTTAGATTCACTTTGCCTTGCTCCAGGTATGCAACCTACAGCTTTCATGAGAGCTTGTTGCTTTCCCCAGAAATGAGGACTGCTCGACTGCTCAACACGAATTTCTTGACGTGTTCTGCGGTTTTCTTCGTGTCTCCTTCCCTCCGTTGACTCTCTCTGTTTTTGCGAGGAATCTGCGACGTCTAAGCCGTCAGTATCAGGTTCCTTGGGAAGAGGTCGACAATGTGAAGCGTGGGGACTCCAAGGGAGTCGTCCAGTGTACGAAGCAGCGGTTGGGAAGAAGGCTTGGGAGGCCGCTAGTAGAAACAAATGAAAAAAGGAACAGGAAGAAAGGTCCAATATAGTGAACCAGACGATCAGTGCGAGCGCTTCTTCAAGGAAACTCGAGCTTCCTTGAAGAAGCGTGAGCTATCCTGCGTCCAGTTTCTAGTAGCTTAAGTGGCTACCTAGTCTCTACTAGCAACCCTACCTACCTACCTACCTCGGCCTACCCCCCCAGGCTATAAAAATATATAGGTCCAATATAGTAGCGTTCTTGTTCCTAGTAGTAAGAATGCTCCTAGTAGCGTTGCCAGGAGCCCCTAGTAACGATGCCCTTGCTCCTAGTAGCGAGCCTTGCTCCTAGTCGGTTGCAGCATCGCCTTGCTCAGGTCATTTCGACCTGGTGGACACGGATCACTCCGGTGAGATCGACTTCGAGGCGAAGCCCCGACGTTGTTTCTCACGTTGTTTGCAGCGGGATTTCGCGTTTGAAGTCTTTGTTGACCCAATGTGAAAAAGTTCTTTTTGAAGTTCTTGGTGAAAGGAAAGTGAAAAATCACCTCTCTTCTTGGCTCATTGAGGAGTTCTCCCAGATCCTTCGGAGAGTTCTACAGGTCATAGCCTGGGAAATTGAAAGGAAGCAGCCGGCGGTTGTGTATTGAAATGGGAAAGGTTAAACATATGCAATTATATCAAGTACTCGGAACCAGAACCTACGAACGGGGCTCCTGGCCGTACTACTAGGAACAAGAAGCTATTTAAACTTGAAGTTTCTACTAGCTTCTTGTTACTACTAGTAAGGCACTTGTTACTACTAGCGATGCACTTGTTACTAGGAGCAAGAAGGCTACTAGTAACAAGAACAAGAAAATGAAACCCAATGAGTGAAAAGGTCTTTCTCTACCCGCGTCAGATCGGTGGTTTCAAGCGCCCAAGGTTCCTCCAGAGTTGGACATGCCTCCCAATCGGGCCAGGCCAGGTGCTTTTTTGTCCATCCTTGTGGGTGAAGGAATGGGCATTTTCCCTGTAAATATATGCATTTGGTTCTAATAGTTCTACTATCTGTTTTTAAGGATATTCCGCAAATGGTATCCTGCTTTGGCACTTTCTGTGCGTGTGGAGGTTCTTTTGGAAGCAACTCGACACCGACGGAAGTGGCAAGGTCAGCCCGTCGCTCAGAGACAAAGGCTCCACTGGCTCTGCCGACTGCCAGGCGGACTTTGCTGAGTTCCTCCCCTGGTGGCTGAAGTACTTCCAACAGAAGGAAATGGAATGTTCAGATTGGCCAATTTTCCCAGTAGTTGTTGCAAATCAAGTTTGGCCAGGAGGGCAAGAAACTCTTGGTCAAGCCCTTTGAGGTGCAGATGTGTGTTTTTTCTACTTGACCTCAGCTTGTCTCAGCTGGTCTCAGCTTGTCCAGGATTTCTATCAAAGTGTGCGCAACTTGAAGAATCCAGACCCACCAGCCTACAAGAAGACTCAAAGGACGAAGATTGTGTCCGGCTCCCGAAAGGAAGGGGGGAAGGGCACCATGCTCCACCTTTTTTTCATGAATAACACAAAAGAAGAGCTCCAAGGTTGCGGAAAAAAAGGGACGCAGACCGAACGGCAGGAAAAGGAGTCCGCAACGGCACCCGTTTGCCGCGTTGTCGTCAGACGCTGTCCCAGGTTACAGACCGAGGACAAAGGAGGCCAGAGCCGGAGAGTGGAGGGGGGCATCCATTTATGGTTTTGTGTGTTTCTTGTGTGTTTTTTGTGTTTTTGTGTGTCCTTTCTTCATGTTTCTTGCTCAATCCGTTTGAGGAAGCTTCACATATTGGGTGAAGGGCCCCCTTTATGAGGATCCCTACTACCTACCTTCTTAAGGGGCCTTAGCGTCTTTTTTCTTCTTTGTGTTTGTAAACTCCAACTTTCTTGGTAAATTCTATAGCTATGGCTCTAAACTCTACGAGTGCTTGGATCAAACTTGGATCTCTTTTTTGAGCCACATTCCAAGGACGTACGAACCGCCGAAGATCCCTGTTCATCGCATGGAGATGAAATGAAGTGCGACATGTGTCCGTTTCCGAGATCTTAAGACCACCGTTTCTTTCTAGCGATGGCCTCCAACCTACTTGCGACGGCCTCCACCAGCCGTTCCTTTCTGACACTTCATGAGGAGAATGATTTGGGGTACGTCCTTTTGGGTGCTCGTCATCCTGCTGCGCCCCTTGTGCCCCTTCCCAAGCGAAAAAGACCCTATCGACCGGACCGTGTTTGGCAGGAGCAAAGCGCGCCCCAGAGCGACGCTTGTCAATGATCCTCACGGAGAGACGCTTCTCAAGGCGATTTGAGTAGCAGAAAGGCGATTTGAGTGGGCTGAAAGATTTGAGCCAACCAACCTACAAGCAATGGCCTCCAACCTAGAAGCGATGGCCCCAACCCAATAGCGATGGCCTCCACCTGAAATAGTTTACTCGTGTTCATATCCTCCAAGAAAATCTGGTCATCAGTATTGTTGTTGATATGTCTGTCCATTTTAAAGATACATGGCCCAACTACTGGTTGAGAGGATCTTTTCAAGTACACGTTTGTGACACGTTCGGTGGGATCAAACGAATTCATCGAACCAGAGTGCTCTGGGAATTTGCGGAGACCTCTTTCACAAAAATCGGTGTGTCTCAGAACACTTGGGCCCCAAGCTGATGGCATTTGGACAAATCAAGACAGTGGATTCAAGAAGCAAGAAAAGCAAATGCGAAGACCACAACGACACAGACTGTGTCACCGTTCCGAGACATCCCCGCCTCCCTCAAAGGGAGCCAACATGGAGGGCCATGGCCATCCAGGCATCCTCTCCAGGTGCCTCTTGTTTTTTGGGCGGGAAAAGCTCGCTCCGGTGACCGTATCGGAAAAGCTTGGCCCCTCTCCGTCGACCTCGACATGGAGAGGAGAAAGGTAATAGGCTAATAGGAATGGCCACCTAAGAGCGATGGTCTCCAACCTGACTGTAATGAACCTAAAGTCAAGCTGTCGAAGGGTCGAATTGCAAAGTTTGGAGTTGCTCTCAGCCCAGCCACGTGTGCACACGACAGTTCTCTGCGAACGGGTCTCAGCGTCCGGGGCTCTTCATCTCATGCTCGTAGACCTAAAGGTTTGTGAGATGTGAATTCATGTCTGAGGACTGGAAGTGTGAAGTTCAGATTCTAAGTGAGTTCTAATGTTATAAAAAACTTTCATTGGAAAGAGCCTGTTTTCTAAATTAAAAAAAGTCAAAAAAAGTCAAATCAGCAAATTTCAGCAAGTCAAAAAAAAGTCAATTTGCCCAGATCCGACCATTTTCGACATGTGTTCGACTTTCTTTTTGACTTGTTTTTGATTTGTTTTTCGACTTTTTGTTGACTTTTTTGTTTTTCTTGACTCCAGTAATCCGCCAAGGCGAGGAGCCACAGTTTTGACTTTTTTTGACTCTTTTTTTACTGTTTCGAGCTGTGTGTGTGGTCTATGGTTGACTTTTTGTTCGACTTTTTTTTGCCTTTTTTGACTTTTTTTTAACTTTTCAATTTGATTTTTTGACTTTAACTTTTCCAGTTGACTTTTTTTGACTGTTTTTTAAATCACGGATTCTGGCCTTACCATATGAAAGTTTTTTATAATTCTAATGAAATGTATGTGAATGTGTGACTGTGACTCCAATTGGAGGTGCAAATCTATTCGGCCAAAAGCTTGATTAGAGCTTGATTTATTGCTTGATGTCCCTTTCCATGGCTGCTCCCATGCGCCGCAAGCCGCGGCTTTCGCTGTGGATAGGTCTTTGTTTTCTGTGGTGGAACTGCGCGCTGTGCTTTTTGCCCAGTCACTACGGCTGTCAACACCGAATGGTCACTATGGCTGTCCCAGGCCGTTTCGTCACATCGAATGGTCGAGGGGTCACGGCAACTCCGGCCAAAGTGACCCGTCGTGGTCACACTTTGGCCGTCGTGAGCGTCGCGACGGTGAGCGGTGTGCTGTTTCAATCTTGGCTTCGGCGGCAAGTCCGCGAGTGGCGACGGCAAGCAACCCTGCGTTCCTTGCTTGCAGCACATCCTGGCAAGGAAGAGCAAGTGCGGGCAATTGCCAAGAATGGTGAAAAGTTA